CACAAATCCTCAGGTGTGGTCTGGAGGTTTTAGATAATAAAGACACTTCAGTTACTCAGGAAATTCCAAGGGTTATCTCTCAGGAACCAAGGACAAAGGCCATCTTTTTTTTTTTGGTAAAGTAATTCCTTACTGCACATCTGTCTATTTTAAACCTTTTCTAACTATTGTTTTCCCCTTAGAATTCTGACGTTGTTGTGAAATTCTTGGTATTTAAACTGATAGAACTCACTTGGGTGACTAAGTAATTTCCAATTAGAAATTCTACAAATTTAGAGACTGTATTATCAAAAGACCTATTATTTTAACAATTTAAGAATATCATAGGTCAAATAATACCATGGAACCTTGTGCTAAACAAGAACTCAACCTCCGTTAGTTTAGAGCAGTACTTCAAAAATTATAATGGAGCCATATAATGAAACTCCAAAATTATACTGGGCTTCTGCTTTAATGAAGGTGAAGTTCATGCTTAGTCCATGGCTCCACAGTGATTCAGAGTTCAAAAACACACTTCTTCCAGCTTGTCTCTCAGGCTTCTTGGGAATGCAGGCTGTTCTTCATTACTACCACTCTACAAATACAGTATTTTTAGACTCTTCAGTGTCTTTCTTGTCATTTTCAATAGTTTTCTTTATCTTTTCTTTTTGACATTTTTGTAGCTCTTGACAATTTATGATCTCTTTTTTTTTTTCTTTCTCTTGAAACTCTCTTCTCTGTCTTTCTTCATAGAACTCTTCTGGTTTCATGCATTATTTCTGATCTTCTGTGTTATAGCCAGCCATGGTATAATAGTATTCACCATATGAATAACCAAGTGTCTGACCCCCATGTTTTGAATGGTCCATTTTTTCTCTACTGCTTCAAAAGCCTCTTTATTATATACTCAAAATTCATCAATAAATCCAACTCTTTCAGTTCTATGTTTCCATTGATCTACTTGTCTATTCCTGCATGGTTGAAATTATTATAGCTTTATGAGGTTGTGAAATTTGATAGAACATGTTTCCCTCATAGACCTTCCTTTTCAGGAATTCTCTGTTGTGTATCTGTTCTTCTAGATAAATATAGAAATAGTTTGTCAAATTCCATTAAAAATTCTCTTGGGGTTTTGATTGGAGTTGCATTGAAATTTAGGTTAATTTGGGGGATGTTTGACATCTCTGCAATAGTGAGTCTTCCTATTCAGGAACATATTGGAGTATTCTGTTTATTCACATCCTTTGTGTGTATCTTTCTTTCAGTGAAGTTTTATGGGTTTCTCCATATGTTCATATTGTTGTCATTGTTGTGTGCTGTTGAGTCGGTTCCAACTCATAACAACTCTATATGATAGAGTGGAAATACCCTATAGAGTTTCCTAAGCTGTAATCTTTACAGGAGAAGTTGCCAGGTCTTTTCTCCCCTGCAGCCGTTGGTGGATTTGAACCACTGACCTTTTGGTTAGAAGCTGAGTGTTTAACCGTTGTACCCCCAGGGCTCCTGTTATATGTTCATACAGGGCTTATATATTTTTGTTGCTTTGTTCCTAGGTATTTGATAGTTTTTTTTAAAACAAATTATTGTCAATAGGATACGTTTCTTACCTTTTTGTTGGTGGTGGTGGTGTATAGGAAAGCTACTGATTTTTGAATTTTTAACTTGGATTTAACTATCTAATTTTCCATTTGATTGTCTTGAATTTTCTAGAGAAATGTAATATCTGGTGCAAATCAGCATAGGTTAATAGCACTCATTTCTCTTTCTTGTCTCATTGCATTGTCTAGTTCTCCCAGAAAAATGTGGAATGGCAGTGGTGATATAACAAGCATTCTTGTATTGTTCCTTATTTTGATGGGAATACTTTTGATATTCAATGTTAAGTGTTACATTTGTTGTATTTTTCCTGGTGGATACCCTTTACTGTTTTGAGGAAATCGCCTTCTATTCCTAACATTATTGTTTGTCCTATACAGGTGTGTTAAATTTTATCAAATATCTTTTGGGTAGTGTGGGGTTTACAATTAACTTTACCCAAAGAATTTGGTCTTTGTTTTTGGTTCCTGAAAGACACCTTCTAAAACTGTGGAATTTCCCCAGTGTTTGGGGTCTCTTGTCTATGAGAGCTCCAGACAACGCCTGATTGTTTATGCTGATGAGTGAACTCATGTTGGGTGGTGGTTGGCCATGCCAGAAAGACCAACCACGTAATATCAGTTCCTCAGGGGAAGGGGGCTGGAGGTTAAGTTCAGTCACATGGACAATGATGTAATCAATCATTCTTTTACAGTGAGACCCCAATAAAAGCTCTGAACACTGAATCTTGCTGAGCTTCCTGGTTGGTGATAGACATCAGTGCATGAGGGAGGGTAGACATCCTTTGGGATATGAAGCTCTACCTTAGGAACCCTCTCAGACCTTGTCTTATGTGTCTCTTCATCTGTATCCGTTTTGCCTTAAATAAAATTGAAATAATAAGTATAGTGCTTTCTTGAGTTCTGTGAATTGTTCTAGTGAATTATCGAGCCCCAGAGGATAATAGGAATCCCTGAATTTGTAGCTAGCAGGTCAGAAGGGAGGAGTGCCTGGAATTTACAGCTGGCATCTTGAAGGGGTAGTGGGAAATCCCAGATTTGTAGCCAGCAAGTCAGAAGTGAAGGTATTGTAGTGACTCCTGAGCTTGTGACTTTGTCTGAAGTTATGGGCAGACTTGACCATCTGGAAGATTGTGCCCTTTACCTTGTGAGAGCTGACCTAGCTCTGGTGGTTAGGATCAGAGGAAAAAGTACCTCATTTGTAGTTGGTATCAGGGTATTTATAGTGAGTTGGTATGTGTCAGAGAGGGCACTCATGGACACACAGAGAGACATTTGCTATAGGCAACTATTGAGATGATATTTGTAATTACTTTTATAATTTCTGAGTGGTGAACAATTCTCATACACCTGGGATGAATCTTGTATGGTCATGTTTTAGTGTTCTGTGAATACACAGCTGATTCCATTTGTTAAATTTTAGGTGTTCAAGTTTTTTTCATCTGTATTCATAAATGATTTTGGTTCATAGTTGTGGGATTGTGTGTGTGTGCCTGTGTGCATGTGTGCACACACACATACCTTAGTCTTGGTTTCACTATTATGCTAATCTCATAGAATAAACTTTAGAAGAGTTTAAATAAAATACCAATTTTAATAGTGCTTTCCCCCAACAGTCTGAGCCTTTAGGAATGGAAATATTTGACTACCTTAACATTTTTTCTTTTATTGTTATTGCTCTCCAGGGTTACTATTCTTCTTTGGTAAATTTTTATAATTCTATATATTCTCAGAAATCTATCCATTTCATTTAGATTTTGAATTTTTTTGACTGACTTAAAGTTGTATATAGCATTTTCATGCAATTTTAAAGAATATCTTCTATATCAGCAGTTATATTACCCTTTTTATTCCTAAAATTGCCTATGGTATTTCTTTTTATCTTGTGGCCAGATTTGCCAAAAACTCAGTGTATTTTATTGGCCTTTTACAGAGTTGATTTTTCTGATTTTTAGGCTTGCTAGTTTGTTAATTTCTACTTTTATTTTTAATTACTCTTCCTTTCTCTTTTCGTAGGTTGTATTTTGTTGTTTTAAATGCATCCTGAATTAAATGATTACATCAATACTTTTGAGTCTTTCCTTTTTTTTCTTTTAAAAAATGCTTTTAAGATGATAAAAACTTCCTTTGAATAACACCTTGATTGCATCACATGTGTTTTGATGGGAAGTGTCTTAATTGGCATTCGTCCTTAAGGAGACTCGGGATTTTAGTTTTGATTACCTGTATAATCTGACGGTTATTTAGAAGAGTATAGTTTTGTAAATATCTAGGTGGACCATTTTTTTTCCAGCTTTTTATTAAGTTTCATGCATTTTGAGCAGATAATATAACCTGTATAATTATTTCTTTTTGGAAATTATAAGATATTCTCTGCGGCCTAATACTTATTATTTGTTTGGGGCAAGCCTGTTGCCGTTAAGTCGATTTCCAACTCATAGCAACCCTATAGGGCAGAGTAGAACTGCTCCATAGGGTCTCCAAGGAGTGGCTGGTGAATTCAAACTGCCAACCTTTGGTTAGCAGCCAAACGCTTAACAACTGTGCCACCAGGGCTCCTGTTTGGGACGAAGGTCCATATGTATCCATTATGTCAAATTCCTTAATTATTTTTATTCTTTTTCACACTTGCATCATATTTCAAGAATATGTATGTTTCATAATTTACTTACTCATTCTTCTAATGCTGGACATTTAGCGTCTTTATATTTTTTTGGCCTATGTAAAAAAATGTTGCTGTGAGCAATCTTGTACATTTGGTTAAAAAGTAAATAGTTATGTAAAGTAGATTTCTAGAAAACACACATACACACACAACTGAAGTAATTCTATACATTCATAGATTTAATTATATACACAGCAATAAAATAATAAATTCCCAATTTTTTAATGTCACTATTATTTGGGACTTTAGTTTGGCTAATCAAACCCAATATGAATGAACTATATGCCAAATAGTGTAGCATCAAATGCCTTTTCTTGGTCCTCTACTCAGGTCCCATTCCCAGGCCAAATTTCTGTTGGTTTAATCTAGGATTCTAGATACAGGTGGTAGTTATTACCTTTAAAAAACTTTTTATATATATTCTCTTCTAAGAATTATATTTGAAATTTTCAGTGTTTCGTGACCTTATCAACAGCAACTACTTTGACTTAACATTGCTTAATTGGTCTCTTGCACGCTACCAGTTCTTATATCACAGCTTCTCCATTCCTAGTGCTTATTTTGATTCATCTCTGGTTTGGTGAAGTTATTTAATTTTTTTTCAAAAAGGTCATGAGCTCTTGTATATGTATTTATGTTGTCTTTGCATATGAATGACATCTCTGTTGATTTCTGTTTTTATTACTTTAAAAATTTTGTTTCCTTACTGTGCAGTCTCCTCTCAATTCCTTCTCTCCTGAAGAAATTCCTCTAATTTTCAGGTCGAATTTATAAACATGCCCAGCAACCACTGATTACATATGAAAAACACAATGTGATGGACTTTCCAAAGAACATAGGAGGCTCCCATTCTTTGTTCCTTCTGAAGGTTCATGGCAAGTTACATGTAGTATTATTACCACTCTTTGGAATAACTTTACCTGATGACTCAGTGCTGGTGGGGTTAGGAATGGTGGTGGGTAAAACTTAGCAGATGTTCATAAATCTTATATGTTTCAGCATTAAAATTTGCAGGTAGCATTAACTATTTTAATGTCTTCTAATTTTTATTTAGAATGGAGGGTAGGACTAATTCAGTGATTTTAACACTGGTTGTATATTAAGATCACCAGTGGAGATTTGAAGACATCTGTGATTTTTTAAAAGTGCCCTAAATGACTCTAACATGCAGCAGGGTTGAATATAACTGGGTTAGTTAACTTTTTAGGAGGTCTTAATTATGCCATTTATTAAAAAACATATTAACAAAAGACAGTGATCTGTAATTTTGATTATCTGATTGTAAAAGTAAAAGTAGTTTGGTTTCAAGGATATAGTTTTATTGTCGAAGAACTGATCAATGTACCAGTATTTGAGGATATACAAAGTACTCAGTACTAAAGTGTTGTACACTAAAAGATGAATGGAACTAAGTCGGAAAAGCGGTAGCTTAAAAACAAGGCTCTGATTTGCTCTGTCATCTGGTTCTACAGATGACAGTTGATTTCATTTGAAAACTATCCCAGCTTATTGTTAAAAGGATTTAAGAGTAATGGAATAATGTGGTATATACTATATTATTGTAAATTACTTGTATTTTGTGGGAACTTTACTTATTTTGTGTATTTTCTTTATATTCTCCACAGTTATCTATTCCTAGAGTTTTAATAAAATACTATGAAAGTTAAGCTTGAAAATAACATTATTGTTAATTTGCTTCTACTCGTGTTGTTGGAGGCAGGGCAGTGGTAGAATTCTTGCCTTCCAAGTGGGAGATCTGGGTTCAATTACCAACCAATGCTCCTCAAGCACAGCCACCTCTTGTCTATCAGGGGAGGCTTAATGTTGCTCTGATGCTGAGCAGATTTCAGTAGAACTTCCAGACTAAGACACCCTAGGAAGAAAGGCCTGGGGACCTACTTCCAAAAATCAGCCAGTGAAAACCCTGATCACAAGGATTTGATCTCGTTGTGCATAGGGTCGTCATGAGTCAGGACTTGCTCAACAGCAGCTAACAACAACTCCACATGTTGTAATTCTAGTTTGGCAGTTAATTGAATTCAGAAATAATGTGCCTATTTGTTTTCGGAATGAGATATGAGAAGATTCTGAGATAACTGCAAATAGGCTGTATTAGCAAAATGGTTAAGAGCACAGTTGCTGAAGCCAGACTGGGTTCAAATCCTGAATTTGTAACCTTGGGCAAGTTACTTAGCTTTCTGTCTTTGTTTCCCCATCCAGTAAAACTGGAATAATAATTGTAACTACTTTATAGGAATTAATATACATAAGATACTTAGAGAATTAATATACATAAGATACTTATGCTTGGCACATAAGAGAGCTATGAAAGTCTTAGCTATTAGAAGTAATAGTGGTGGTAAAAACTGTGACATACAGGATCTTTTTAGATTATACTTATGTGAGATAAATGAATTTTCCAGACTCTTTATGTTTTTTTGATCATTTGGCTTTGGTCAATGATGAAAGAGCTTCATTAGTTTGTGATCTCAGTCAATGTGTTTTCTCACCTGTAGCTGCCTTAATGTTTGTGGCATGGATGACTACCGTTAGCATAGGTGTACTGATTGCCCGGTTCTTCAAACCTGTTTGGTCAAAAGCTTTCTTCTTTGGTGAAGCAGCTTGGTTTCAGGTAGGTATTTGAGAAAAAAAAAGTTTAATGCAATTTCCATGTTATTTGAACATTGCAAGCATGAAAACCTATGAAGTATGCATTCTTTATATAGTTACAGTTATTGTAGGTTTGGGATCTTAATTATTTCTTTTCTCGATGGTTTCCTAGCCAATTGAGAAGAGACACAATATGTTTGATGGAGGACAAAATAGAGACAGCTTTATGAAGGATCAAGCTGGATTGAAGACTGTTTCAGGGCCATGTGTGTCCCTTTGTAACATAACTTTGAAACCCAAAAGATTCTGTCATACATGAGGTCTAGTTGCAGGGGGCGAGGCTGGGAGAGCATCCACCTACGGCACTGAGTACAGATGTGTCCTGGAAGGCAGGAGAGCAGAATAAAGACATGGTGGGTGCTTACTGCATTTCACAGTGGAGATGGTCCTCTGGTTGATGGTCAATGAATGTTGGACTATCCCTAACTCACCAATGAAGGTCATCTCTCTCCTGTGTGGGTGGGTGGGAAGAGAAACTGGAAGTGTTCCTTTTCATATTGCCCCTTCCTGTGAGTTGGGGAGGCAGTCTCCTCATAGAAACACGAGCAGGAGTGAGGGAGGGACCTTCCAAATAAAGCAAAACAACCCTCAGCTTTCATGTGTCGTGGAGTACAGATGCTTGCACGTATGGTGGAAGACCAATGAATATGTGTTGAATTAGAATATACATCCCTGCTTATAGAAAAAAAATTACTGCTTATTGGAACAGTATTCTTATTGAAACACTATTGACTTTAAAAGGGGGTATCCTTGGCACTTCATATTCATATAAATTTGTAGCTTTTAAGGTATATTGTATCTAATCTCATTTCTCCCTCTTGGCTATCAAGGCCAATCTGTTTTATTTGTTCTCCTTACTGTGACCTGCCTTGCTTCTCTCTGTCTCTGCCTCTGCCTCTGCTCTCTCTCTATCTGCCCGTGTGGATATTTCCAACTGGAAGACTCTTATGTCTCCTTTTTACCAATTCAAATCCTCCCCTGAATTTAAAGCTACGATGTATATATAGGGTGACTATATATCCTACTGCTCCCTGGAATAGTTTTAACGTTTGCACCAGTTTTGTTGGCATAACTGATTAACAGTGCCTCTTTTCTTCCTGTTCTCCTGATTTGGACAATGCATTACACGATTTACTCAATAAACTTAATCTTTGCATGTGTAATTTTTGAGGAATTTTAATCTGCACCTAAATGTTACTCTCTTGCTTTAATGATTAAACTAATTACTGTTTTTAGTTATTTCATGTATCTTTCTCTTGTCTACTCAGTTATATCCCAGGCTCCTCAGGAGTCAATATTTTCTGTTTCCTTGCTGTCTCACTGTACCTGGTATAGCGCTGTGCCTCATGTTGGAGCTTAATAAGTGTTTTTGGAAGGAAATGAAGTACTTGGCAAGTAAGCGTGCTCTGTGTTTGAAGTACCCATTCCTGCTGCTCTGTGCAGGTGAAGTCTTGACAAATGCTTTTGAATGATGAGAATGGCAACTTAGGGTTTTCTCTAAAGTTCAGTGGTATACTTAGATTTTTTTTTTTTAACTGACCACAAACTATCAGTTAATGTCAGTTCAATGCCTACCTCAGCCGATCTTAGCCCAGGATCTTGCCCCCATAGTAACACGCACTCCTTTCTCTTGCAGACTTAACGCTTCTTCCCTCTTTGTTGTCTCACCCTTCCAGGTGCATCGAATGCTCATGATCACTACATCTGTCCTCACCTGTGTTGCTTTTGTTCTGCCTTTTATGTACAGAGGAGGCTGGAGTCGGGTAGGTATATCCTAAATGGGATGTTTTTATATAAATCCATCTTATGTGAAAGCGGATTGCTGTTTATTCTTTCATTTTTGAATCCTATGGTGACTGTTTCCCATGGCTGGGGCTCAGGAATAAGGAGGGCCAGGGGTGGGGTGAAAACGTCTGTGCAGATTACTTGGTAATGAAGTATATTCTTAGGCTGCATCAAAATGTTATGCCCACAGTATAGCTTTAGTTAGTTTTTCTCCTATATTGTTGCTAGTTGTTGTCAAGTCAATTCTGACTTATGGTGACCCCACGTGTGCAGAGTAGAGCTGCTCCATAGGGTTTTCAAGGCTGAGACCGTTCAGAAGCAGATTGCCAGGCCTGTCTTCTGAGGCACCTCTGGGTAGATTCGAACCTCCAATCTTTTGGCTTATAGTCAAGTGCTTAATTATTTGCATCACCCAGGCCCCTCCTTTTCTCCTATACAACAAAAACCCACTGCCGTCGAGTCAATTCTGACTCATAGTGACCCTATAGGACAGAGCAGAACTGCCCCATAGGGTTTCCAAGGAGTGGCTGGTGGATTCGAACTACCGACCGTTTGGTTAGCAGCTGAACACTTACTCAAAGTGTGATGTCTAAGGAACATGAACAATGCAAATAGTTTCCCTGCCTAGTACTATGATTATTATATGTTAGTTGCATTCCTGCTATATGACTGGCTATCCTAATTGCTTTAGATGTGTTATCAACTTAAGTCTCAAATGAAATAACTATTAATAATAGTCCCAAGTCATGAATGAAGAAACTGAGGCTTACTTTCAGATGTTTATCTTTAGCTCAGCTCTCTCCCCTGGCTTCAGACTCACACACCTAGCTGTCCTCTCAGGATCTCTACTTGCATGTCTGTTAGATGTCTCACACTTAACACATCCACAGTGGAATTCCTGATCTTTCCTTCCAGTCCTGCTCCACCTGCTGCCAACCCTATATTAACTGTTGGCAGCTCCATCTTTAGGCTAAATGTTGGGATTATCCTTAATTCCCCTCTCACACACCTCATATCCAACTCATCAGGAAATCCTGTTGGCTCTGCGTTTAAAATACATCCAGATCTGACACCTCTCACCACCACTGATGCAACTACCTGGATTTGAGCCACCATCATTTTTTACTAGGGCTATAGCAGCATCCACCTAACTGGTCTCCTTCCTTAAATCCTTGTCCGTCTACAATCTATTTTCAACAAAGGAGGCAGAATGAGTTTTAAAAATGTAAATCAATTCATATCATTCCCGTGCTCCAAACTAGTTTCTTAAATATCTCTCAATTTCACTCACAGTAAAAGCCACAGCCCTTAACAATGACCAAATGATTTAGCTCCCAGTTACGTCTCTGAACTCATCTCTTCCTGCTCTCCCCCGAGTTTATCTCATTCCACACTGGCCTCCTTGCTGGTCTGCAAAATGCCAGACTCCTGCTTCACAGTCGTTGTAAAGAGTCTTCCCTCTGCCTGGAATATGCTTCCTCTACTTCCTCACCTTCTTCAAGTCTTTCCTCACATAACATCTTCTCAGTGAGTCCTGCCCTACTCTTCTTTTCCCTCATAACACTCTTTACTTTATATCATATATTGTCATATAAGTTACTTATTTATTGTTTTTTCTTTGTCTGCCTTTCCACACTAGTATGTAAATTCCTTGAGAGCTGGGATATTTATTGGTATGTTCAGTGATGTATCCCAAGCACCCAGAACAGACTCTGATACATAGTAGGTGCTCAGTAAATGCGCTCAGTCAATATATATATATATATTTTCCCCATTGGCTGATTTTTTTTTTTAATTGTACTTTAGCTGAAGGTTTATAGAACAAATATTTTCTCATTAAACAGTTAGTACACGTATTGTTTTATGTCATTGGTTAACAACCCCATGACATGTCAACACGCTCCCTTCTCAGCCTTGGAGGACCCTTTTTTTTTTTTTTTGGTGAAAATATACATAGCCAAGGATACACAATTTCAAAAATTTCTACATATACAATTCAGTTACATTGATTACGTTCTTCCAGTTGTGCTGCTATTCTCATTTTAGATGAAGGTTTAGAGAACAAAATAGTTTCTCATTAAACAGTTAGTACGCATATTGCCCTATGACAATGGTTAAGAACCCCACTACATGTCAACACTGTCCTTACTCAACCTTGGGTTCCCTATCACCAGCTTTCCTTTCCCCTTCTGCCTTCTAGTTCTTGTCCCT